TAGCGGATAGCATAAAATCCCATATCTCTTTCTATTTATTAACTGATAAAAAAAAATGCAGGCATCTGAATGAAAAGAATGTTCTGAGGACTAAAACGTACTGAAATCATGGTCGTTTTAGTAGCTGCAGTCCTCAAAATTGGGAAGCATAAAACAATTATATTTGAATCATTTTACATTTCACAAACAAAAAATATAAACAGGTATATTTATTTAGCACGTTTTTAATAAAAGGAATACCCAATTTCAGATCAATTAGAAATTGTTTCACAAATTAGGCTAATTCCTCATTCATACTTTCCTACATTTATGGAACAAGAAAATACATTTAAAAATTGTATTCCCCTGCACTCATTCTGATAAGTTTAAATGTAAAATCAACTCAAACCTTAGACAGAGGCTACTAGTTGTAAATTGCGCTTAGACTAACACAGCTGTTGGTGAAGAGAGCCTTTGGAAAACAGAAAGCTGGTTGTCACCAGAAATTGCCAGACAGTAGAGAAAGATAAAGGGGCAGGATTCACAGATGCCTTTAAGAAGCCCCTGGGCTGTAGTACAGGAGAAAGAGCCCCTGGTTCCAAGCTGGTTTCATCCTGAAACTAAGATGCATTTATTTTATACTAGCTGAGAGATGCTGTTTTCTTTCTAATAAAGGTGGATTTTAAACTCAATTAGGGAGATAGTAAAATCAATCTGAGAGAGAAAACAGGTGGAGTTTTGGCTGATAGTTTGGAGTATTAAACTATGGAATAAGCAGGAGTAGCAAGATTATATATATATATATATATATATATATATATATATATATATATATATATATATAAATGCTCTCAGATCTATATTTTTCTAACTTACCGGGCAACAATTCCTTTTCTCTTTCTCAATCCTTAGAAATGAAAAAGGAAAATGAAAGTGAGAAATAAAATCACATAAATAAGCATTCAAGTTCAGTTTTCTTCATACTTTTGCAGAAAATCTAATTTATGTAGTATCTTTTTAGAGGTATCTTATAGTTTCTTTGTATGTTTTTAATGTTATAAGAAACTGGATGAGAAAGCATGCTTTTGTTAACAGTCTGTTAGGTTTGTGAAATAATTTTGATATTTAAAATCATTTGATATTTTGACATACAGGGTTTGTTAGTATAGTTGGAGCCTACAAATTCTTTAAATTCAGTATTCAAACTCAAGAAAGGAAGCCTATTTATTCTGTAGCACTATTTATATCACTCTTTCCTGACTAGCATCCTGCAAAAGTCCTGTATCACGAAACTCTGTCACAAAGCTCCTTTTTAATCAATCTCATTTTCTTCAGTGGTTAAGACAATATAAAAATAAGTCATTTTAATCAAAATCTGAAGTTTCATTTTGGAAAACTAGCCATGTAGCTACACTGCCACAAGGTGGGAGTAAAACGTTTGATTGGCTTAAGAATTGGGCTTTGCTTCTTTTTTCTTTCGTTCTTTCTTTTTTTCCCCCTACAGCTCTTACGTGAACAAAGACATAAAACAGGCTAACTTTGAATGAAATAACATTGGTTCTGTATTCCTTGTTGCTAATATGCATACCCTGAGAACTGGAATTCCTTCTCCCCAAAGTTTGCGTATCAAATATAAATATAGATGAAGAAAATGGCTTAATAGCAATTTCTTTATTCCTCTCTTTTCTTTCTTTATTCCTTGCCAACATTAGCCCCTTTCAAACTATATTTTAAGACTATAAGAAAGCCATTTCACATAAGGCCTACTAAAAAGAACTTCCCAATTTTATGATGATAATGAATATTACTTATTCTCTATACTAATGCATATTTTGAAGATAGCTGCCCTTCATAAATTTTTCCTATCATTTTATATCTGCATGGTAATGAAGGCAGCCATGTAAGTGGGAACAATGAATTAAACAGTCCAAGAAAAATGTATAATGATCTTGACCTTCTAAGGAACTGAAAGATTAAAATGAGTTTTTACATATTGCTTATACTAGAATAAACATAACACAGAGCCTCTATACACTACTCAATGTCTTTTGCTTGCTTTGTGTTTAAATAGATGTACTAGCTATGCTTTGTTTAATGTGTGACTATTAAATCCAAATTTGGCAACATATGTGTTTATGTTGGGGTGTAAGCATATGCAAACATACACATGCCCTTTGAGATAGAGTGTCTGACACTTAGGCTAGTAAGACAAGACATTTTAAGGCAGTCGAGACTCACCAAGGTGACAGCAACACTCCTAAGGGATCCTGAGTGTTGCTAAGTGGAAAGGACTGCCATCTCCCTTGAATGCAAAGACATAAAGAATAAGAAAAGGCATAAGTTGGCTTGCCCATTTCAATTCCTTTCCTTTTCCTACATAATAATAAAGAGGGGGCCAATTGATGGCATTCATGTCATTGCTGCTTGCTGATGTTATGTTTTCTGGAAAGATTTCCCAAACAGGCCTTTTTATCTTACTGAGTTCTGAATCTCAATAGATAAAGGGCCACATCACTTACCTGACTTTTTCATTTTTTTCCCTAATGATAGCAATGGCAAGAAAGGGCAGCGCCTGAGGCCATGGCATTGATCTTTGCTGTATGTATCATTAGAAGCTCAAATAAAAATAACACAATGGTCTTCAGCATAAACTTTGCTGCTTTTAGACAGTCTAGTGAATATTACATTTATAAATAAGTAAAGTTTTTTCTAACTGGGTGGGTATTTTTTTTTTTTTTTTTTTAAGAAAGAAAGAGAAAGAGAAAGGGAGAGAGAGAACAAGAGTCTTGCTCTATTGCCCAAGCTGGAATGCAATCTAAAAATAGGTATTAAAAACCTCTTTTATGCCGACAACTGTGCTTAACAGCAGAGACAGGAAGGAATACGGGAAGAAAATAACAAACAAACAGCCAACCAATATTTTATTTAAGTCTGTGAAATGCTATGCAAATGTTGAAGAGTGATTTATTTCCAATTATGTGGTCAAAATAGGTGTAATATGATACTGAGAAAAATGTATATTCTGTGGACCTGGGGTGAAGCAGTCTATAAATATTCACTGAGTTTACTTGTTCCAGGTCTGAGTTCAAATCATAGATGTCCCTGTTAATTTTCTATCTCATTGATCCGTCGAATATTAACAATGTGGTATCAAAGTCTCCTGCTATTATTGTTCGGGAGTCCAAGTCTCTTTATAAGTCATTAAGGACTTGTCTTATGTATCTGAGTGTTCCTATATTGGGTGCATATATATTTATGATCATTGACTCCTGTTGTTGCATTGATCCTTTTACCATTATGTAATGTCCTTCTTTGTTTCTTTTAGTCTTTGTTACTATTAAAGTCTATTTTGTCAGAGATTAAAGTTACAACTCCTGTTTTCTTTCTTATTTTTTTTTTTTTTTTTTTTCCTTTTGCTCTCCATTTGATTGGTAAGCCTTCCACCAACCCTTTGTTTTGAGTCTTTATTCAATTTGCCTGTCTGTGTCTTTGATGGGGCATTTAATCCATTTAAATTTAGGATTAATATTGATATTTGTGAGTTTAATATTGTCGTTTAATGCTAGCTGGCTATTTTGCCCATTAGTTGATATAGATTCTTCATTATGGACATACTCTTTACCTTTTGGTAAGTTTTTGGGATGACTGATACTGGTTGTTCCTTTCTGTGTATAGTGCTTCTTTCAGAAGCTCTTGTAAAGCAGGCCTGGTAGTGATGAAATCTCTGAGTGCTTGCTTGTTCATGAAAAATTTTATTTTTCCTTTATTTATGAAGCTTAATTTGGCTGGATATGATATTCTGGGTTGAAAATTCTTTTCTTTGAGGATATTGAATATTGACCCCCACTCTCTTCTAATTTGTAGCGTTTCAGCTGAGAGATCTGCTGTGAGTCTGATAGGCTTCCCTTTATGGGTAACCTGACCTTTCTAGCTGCCCTTAGAATTTTCTCCTTTATTTCAACCCTGGTGAATCTAACGATTATGTGTCTTGGGGCTACTCTTCTTGAGGAATATCTTTGTGGTGTTCTCTGTATTACCTGAAGTTGAGTATTTTCCTGCCTTGCTAGGTTAGGAAAGTTTTCCTGAATAATATCCTGAAGAATATTTTCCAGCTTGGATTCATTCTCTTCATGACATTCAGGTACATCTATCAAATGTAAATTAGGTCTTCTCACATAGTCCCATATTTCTTGAAGATTTTGCTCATTCCTTTTTACTCTTTCTTCTCTAATCTTGTCTTCTCGTTTCATTTCATTAAGTTGGTCTTCGACTTCTGATATCCTTTCTTCTGCTTGATCAATTCGACTGTTAAAACCTGTGCATACTTCATGGCGTTCTCGTATTGTATTCTTCAGATCCATTAATTCACTTATATTCCTCTCTAGATTGTCTATTTTCCTTAGGATTTCGTCAAATCTTTTTTCAAGGTTCTTAGTTTCTTTACATTGGGCTGGAACATGTTCTTTTAACTCACAGAAGTTTCTTATTATCCACCTTCTGAAGCCTAAATCTGTTAATGGAACACACTCGTTCTCCATCAGGCCTTGTTCTCTTGTTGATGAGGAACTGTGATCCCCTGTAGAGGGAGAGGCATTCTGATTTTGGGTATTCTCAGCCTTTTTATGCTGCTTTCTTCCCATCATTGTAAATTTATTCACCTGTCATCTTTGTAATTACCAACTTTCAAATTAGGTCTCTGAGTGGACATCCAACTTGTTGATTCCCAGCGCCGGAATCTGAGCAACCCACTGCGCCAGCCAAAACAGCAGCGTTAAGATTCGTGCTGCTTTTCTGCCCGGGAATCTCCGGTCTGGCTTCCTTCTTGAGTCCCTTTTTCAATCAGCTGAATAGGCGACTCTGCCTTCCTGGAGCTCCAAACATCGACCAAAAGGGGACCCAGTCCCATTTACTCTGCACCAAGAACCGCTGCGCCGGCCACAAGACTCACGCTGGCGACCCATGGGGCTCTTCCGCTGCGAATCGTCTGAAAGTGTGGTGTCCTCTCATTCTCTGTGCTTTCACTGGGAGCTACAATCCTGAGCTGCTAGTAATCAGCCATCCTGGATTTCTCTCCTGGGTGGGTATTTTTAAAGTTTAAGATATGTGGACAAAATCTATTCATATAATGAAATACCATCTGAGAATATGCTAGACGATTTTGGATGTGGCATTATAATAATGCACTTGAGTATGTCATAATGTTCTGCAAAATACTGAGTATTGTGATCTCACGATCTGGCAGATATGATCTACATCTTTTGCTCTTCAGGGTCACTGTTTTTTCTCTTAAACTTGTGATTTGGAGAGTTGGCTGAGGAAAATGAAGCAGGAAATAAACAGCTTTAAAATTTTAGTGAGTGGCTAGGATTAATTTTAGGTAACTCAGAAAGGATAAAAGGCATCAATCATAGCTGTTGGTTTAAGAAAATAGTATACATAATCCAACCAATATGTTCTAAGTTCAACATATTTTTAGTGCTTACTTATTGTGTTATTGACCCTAAGATGTCATTACAGTAAGATGTATAATTACTTTGTGTACACTAAGAAAGAAAAATATGATGTATTAAATTGAGTTTAGTCATTAACCATAAGATGCATATAAATTTTAGAGATGTTAAAATATCCTATTAAAAAAGAAGGAAAGAAGAAAGGAAGAAAGGAGGGAAGGAGAAAAATGAAAGAAAAGCAAGCCTTAGAAACCATGAAATAAAGTAACTACTTTGAAGACTTCTTTACTCATAGGACCTGAGCTAGAATAAGGCTCCTCTGGATTGTCGGAGGTATCAGAATGATATAATAAAATGCTTAAGTGCTTAAACTTTCTATGTAGGAATCCCATTTTGTATGATTAAATCAAAATTCAATTATGATACATGATTTTAGTGTATTTGAAAAACATAATAATCTAAAAGTCAGAGTACCCTAGATTTACAATCAAATAAAATAAATATTAGTTGTCATATTTTGGACTGTACTAAATAGTTACTTGTGCTAGTTTTTATATAAATACATGGTCTGTTTAAACCATGCTATTTACTCCTACTATTGCCAGTTAATAGCTGTTGTCTACAACAATATTTTTTAATTCCATGACTTATCAACCAAGCAATATAATATCAATTATTCAACAGTGTTAGGAGAGAAGAAAAAAACTAAACATATTTTGCTTTTAAATTCTATATCTTCACACAAAATTGCATTATACATTCATTTAATTGGCTTAACAAACTACCAATGATTTACTTTTGAGAATAACCTCCTTAATAAATGTCTAAAATGCTGGAGCAGTATACCCAAACTAGTTAAAGCTAAGTGAAAGTCAAAAGTGGAAGAACCTAATGAGTTGAATTAACTGTTTGATTTTTGTGCTTGTCTTTAACTTAAGTTTTATAAAGATATTAATAATAATTACCTCTAGGTGTTAGAGGAAAAATATCCAATTCATGTAACTGATCTTAGAATCATAATTTATTATATAAAGTAGAAGGTATTCTTTGTAGTTATATAATTTCCTATAAAAACAGTGGGTTATTTTTTCCCAGCATCATAATTGATTTATCCAGACATTACAATATGGCTTTTTGCAGAGGAAAGACAATGGAAATAGTGAGTCTGTGCAGAATATGAGAAAGCTAGCCATCTATCTAGTATCTATATCTATCTATATGTATTTGTGTATAGGAAAGATTAACTAACAAATAAAAACCAAGTGGCAACTCCCGTAGATATTGTATTTGGTTTAATCTAAAATTGAATGGAAAATTAATTAGCAGAATACAATCATCTCATGCCAGTTTTCTTTTGGCCAGGCCCGAATCTCTAAAATTCCTTTTAGATATTTTGCCATACTGTTGAATTACCAGAGGGTTAATTTTGATGTGCATTACATCTTGTCTGGTCCCTGTATTCTGAATGTGTGAGAAACATTCTGTTTTGCAACATGGAAACAGGAGAGGGTAGTTTCAGGATGCCCTGAGAAGACACATTAAAAAGAATTTTTTAAAATTTCTTTTCATGTAAAGTATTTGTGAATGAGTATATATACGTTTACTGAAAAGAAAATTATAAAAAATTTAATCCCAATCTATTTTATCAAGTCATTTCCTTATTAAGAATTGTCATACAGATTTAGATGTTGCTACCAAAGCCTATTTGAATTTTTTAAATAAAAAGCTCACATCTAAGTCAATAAGGATATGAGATATGTTTTGTGCTTAATGGTCTTTTTCTTTAAAAGTACAACTGTAATAAACAATGGAGTAGGAAGACAAAAACATCTATTAAGTATTAAAATAACCAGACACAAAGTAGTATAATCAGAAATACTGCAGTGGACAAAGATAAAATGTCAGACCAGAAGCATTAAGTTTATGTATGTACACAATAGCACTGTTGCATGGCTCCCAGAGGCATAGGGCTTACCACTTTCAAAAAGTACTCACTATTAAGGTGACATAGGTTTTGTCCCTTGAGCCTCCTTAAAGAAACAACAACTGTTCAGTAGCAGTGTAACAGATGTTAAAAAGAATCATTAGCACTCTAAATGTTTTCCTAAGCAGATGTCCTACTTCTGCCATGGCTAACATTGTGGGGAGCGGAGTGGAATGCAGTGAGAATGAAAGGATGAAAAGTTGAGGGAATCAATAACAGATAGTTATAAGAACTACTCATTAATTATATCAAAAAAAAAAAAAATCAAGGTGTTGTGTGTTCTAATTGCTGCTGCTTGAAGAAGGAAGGTAACTAAGTAAAAGAATTAAACTCACATTGTTCCATTGACTTGGCACGTAGCTTTGAATCAATGAGAGGAAAAGTGACAAGCAGTATTAAAGAGAAATTTAATGCTAAAATTGCAATTGTGCACTTTTCAATAGATTTCAGCAGGGAATCACAGGCTAAAAAAGGATCAGTGAAAAGAATGAAAATGAGGAAAACCAGTACACCTACAAGGTGAACCTATGACAGGAATAAGAGAAGTTATTAGATTAGGTGACTGTCATTGTAACTTTATTTCCTTAGGGGCAAAGATAGGAAGGGTTTTTTTCCCAAGCATTTTTTATTCCACTCTGAAATGCCTTAGCTGGAAAGAATTTTCTACATAGAGAATTTTTAATCTCAGCAACCTCATCCAAGTCCTCCTTTATTTCAAAATTTGCTTTCTTCCAAGAAGGCAGAAAATATAAATCTATGTTAGTTATCTGCATCTTCAGAAACTATTCTTTAAATGTGTGAGAGTAAAGAAGAAAAGGTACTGAAATAAAGCAAAAAGAATTTCCTATAATTTTAGTTTTCAAAGCAGTATGAAAAATAATTATAAGGTATAGTAAAATCATGGTCATTAATAACAGAAAATTTGGTGAAAATATAAATTATGTATTTGCTATATTTTATGCACCATGAAATACATTTAATAATAGTTTGGCTTTGTCTGTATGTACCCAGATCTCAGATTCAGTCCTTTTTATAGAAAATTTTATAACAATAAATTATATGAAACCAACAGAAATAATTTTCAGGACCAAATAGACATTTTGAACACTAAAATGTGACTGTATATTGGATCTGTGAAAGCTGATGAACCTTAAAGGCAAATCTCAGTTATATAATAAATTCATATTTACTAAGCCATGTGCTATTATTTCATTTTCTTCTTTCTCAATAATAAAAGGCATGAGTACAGAGGACCATATCACCATCACATTGGAGGAATAAATAGTTTCAAAAATCAATTTTGGGAGACATACAACATGAATTCATTCATTTACTCATTCAATAATCTTTTATTGAAACCTGCTTTATACCAAGCAGTACGATAGATGCTGAGAATTGCAAAAATAGAAAGTGCTGTTACTACTAAGTGGTTCACACCCTAATTAATGAGATGCTCAGTCTCTAAACAAGATAATTATATAAGTAAGTTATGCACCTGGGGATTTAGTGAGCTTACACAGTGCAATGACGATTACATTCCCATTAGAGCCAGTGAGGACAAACTCAGAAAGGAAGTGAAGTTCTGGTGGTCACTTGAATTTAAAGTTAGTAGAAATGTGAAACTTTTTTGTAAGTCATTATACATAACATATCAATTTAATAAAAATCCCTCTATGAAACTACTCAAAATATAATCTTTCTTAAACCAATGATATCTTGTTTGTTCTCACCATATGCCACATTGATGTCTCCAGTAACTCTATGCATGCTATTTGAGAAGTGCCATGATATAGGAGAAGTAACGGTGTCACGCAATTATCATTTCCTTCACACATGCAAGGTCCCTTTATGGTTTAAATTTCAAAGTTCTCTATTATTTTCAAGTCTTTATTTCAACCAACTTTACCACCCTAACTTAGCAAGGATAGTGCATAAACCACTGAGCCACTCATCAAACATGGGATCCTAAGGTGGCATGGTTTCTAGAACTGATTTTTTTAAATGTATGTAATTGGAGAATAATTTAACATTCCTAAGAACAGTGAATTTAATAAGAATTGCCATAATAATAATAATAATCCTTATCACCATAGTAGCCATAGTAGAAAACACTTACAAACACTTAGTATGTGCCAGAGAGTCTTCTAAGTGCTTTACGTATATTAACTCATTAATCCTCATTACAAAACCTAATAGAGAAGCCACATAAGGTAGGAGCTTTATCTGTATCTCTATGTTACATATAAACTGGGACAGAGAGAGGTGGATGATATTTGTCCAAGATCACACTTGTAATAGGCTGAGGATTCATATTTAAAAACCCAACCTAGTTCTAATGTCTGTGCTTTTAACCATTTCACTATGTCTGTCTGCTGACTGAAAGATACAGAAATGGAAGAGGAAAAATCCTCCTCTTTAGGTAATGTGGGTGCTGGAAACAAAGAAGATACAAGAAGAAATCTCCATCCTGCGATATTAAGTTCTGCAGTATCTCTTAAATATTTCATTATTTTAAAAATAAACACAGCAATACAATCTGTGAGTAATGAAAGATTATTTTTAGAGAATTTAAATCAGTTCGTTAAAAAAGCAAATAATAAGATATAAACTATTTTAAAGTTAAAATTTTGAGGACAGGTCCTAAACACTGTTTCTGTTCTTCAGTCACAGTTCCCTGAAAAGAAACTTTGGATCTTGAGATGAAAAAAGATCTATTAGGTCATCTTGTCCATCTTACCGCCAGCAGAGAATTGCTCCCGACAGTAAAGAAGTTAACTTATTGACAGCACTCTTTAAGCAGCAATTTACCAGGTGAATCCCTAAAGGCAAGAATGACTTCTCTGGTTTATCTTTCTCTTCTTATCATCAGTATAGTTAGGAGATCCATTCAGTCTTCTGTGCTGGATGAGGAAAGGGGACAGGATTCTTAAAATGTTTCTAAACTGCTGAAGATTAAAAAAAAACCAGCAGCACTTTGACAGTTTAATCTAGGAGTGTGTGTTTGTGTATATATGCTTTCATGAGACATTTGACAATAAAATTTGGCAATACTCAAATTTATAAAATAAGTTTAATGTTTTATGAGAAAATACATGGCTCTTTATTACATTTTTTCTTTTTTAACATCTATTTTAAATTCAGGGCTACACGTGCAGGTTTGCTATGAAGTAAACTTGTGTCATTGGGTTTGTTGTACAGATTATTTTATTACCCATGTATTAAGCCTGGTATTCATTAGTTATCTTTCCTGATCCTCTATTGCCTCCCACCCTCTACCTTCTGATAAACTCCAGTATGTGTTGTTTCCCTCTCTCCGCTCATGAGTTCTCATCATTTAGCTCCCACTTATAAGTGATAAAATGCAGTAGTTTTCTGTTTCTGCAGTAGTTTGTTAGGGATAATGGTGTCCAGTTCTACCTATGTTCTTGCAAACCACATGATCTCAGTCTTTTTAATGGCTGCATAATATTCCACAGTATATATGTACCACAATTTTTTTTTCTTATCCAGCCTATAATTGATAGGCATTTAAGTTGATTTCATATCTTTGCTACTGTGAATAGTGTTGCAATGAACATACATGTGCAGGTGTCTTTATAACAGAATGATATATGTTCCTTTGAGTATATACACAGGCTCTTTAAAACATTTGAATAAGAAAGTGTCCCTGTCAAATTGTGAATTTTATCCATTTCCTTTGTCCTCTAGAATAATATATTTAAAAGGTAAGAAATTTACTCAGATCCCTTAACTCACCTCAACTTTGGCATTACTGACATCATCCTTTTCATGTATATTCTATGTCAGGGATTCCCAACCTCCAGGCCATTGAAAAGTACTGGAGCCATGGAACCAGACCACACAGCAGGAAGTGAGCAGCAGGCAAGAGACCATTACGGCCTGAATTTCACCTCCTGTCAGGTAAGAGGTGCCACTAGATTCTCATAGAAGCATGAACCCTATTTTGACCTGCATGTGCAAAGGATCTAGATTGCACATTCCTCATGAGAATTTAATGTCTGATGATCTGAGGTGGAACAGTTTCATCCCAAAACCATTCCCTCCCAACCCTCACCCACCCCAGTCTGTGGAAAAATTGTCTACCATTAAACCTGGCCGTGGTGCCAAATGTTGGGGATGTATGTTCTATATGAAGAATGATCTAGAAGAAAAAAGCAAAAATGACTACAATTTCATGTCTTAGATTGAGCTAATATCAGCAAGTAATGCAACAAATTAAAAGAAGAAGGAGACAAAAAGTACTTAATTTCATTTTATGCATGGTGAGTGTGAGGTTCTTAGGAAGATACCTAGAGACAGATTTCTTGTGGATGTTGTAATATGGAACTTAAAAGAAGAAAAGATATAAATTTAGGAGTTGCCATCAGGTAAGAAAGAAATGACGATGTGAGAGATTTCAGGTAGCTTACAACAAAGCATTTCCTTGAAATATTCCAGATCAAGTTTTGTAGTATATTAATAAGTATTCAGCTACAAAAGAATAACACATGGAGGCTATACTGACAATTTCAGTAACTGACAGGCTTTCATAATTTTTTAAAAGATTAGCCATAACGTATTCAAAAGTCAAAAATTCAGGAAGATTTCTTCCAATTTATTTTCCTTTTTCAAGGAGGAAATAATTATTCTTATGTCACTGATCATGCTTTTGGTGACTAATATGACTTGGTGGGCCTATTTTATTTGGAAGAAGGATAAAATATGCCATTGTTCTTTATTTATTTCAAAGTGCATATGTATTTTAACGGCATTTTATGTTCAAGCATGGAAGCATTTCCATGTTAGCTGACTGTGCAGGGGAGGTGAAGTCAGTTAAACTCTTGGATTAGACGTGAACTGTCAACAGAGAGTAAATAGGGCCCCCTCTGCCCAGGGGCCAATAACTGATATAAGCAATTAGCACCTACTTCCACATGTGGATTAGTAGGTTTCTTAGCATAACTGAAAACAGCCTCACTAATTCATGGTAGAAAGTGGAAAGATGTGCCAACTACTGTATGTGCTACTGTATGTGCTTAATGAGTGTTTGAGCAGAATAAAAGGTGGGCATCTTTAACAAGTATATCACCTTTCATAGCGTATGATCACTGAAACAAAGAAAACTACATTTTACACGTTCTCAGGCAGGCATTAGATTCATATTTTAGGTTGACAATAAAATCAAGGAGATAGCATGTCATAATTCAAGATTTTTGAGATAAAGGAGTTATGTTATAATGCTATTTTTAATATTTTGTTTCTTCTTTTCTTTTAAAAACCATATTATATTTTCTAATACAAACTTTTGTAAACTCTAGTAGGAATACCTAATATTAAATGTGAGCATATCATTTATGCTCTGGCATAACTTACAGATACTAAGCAACAACTCAGGAAATACATGTCTATATTAATTCTTTTCAGAGAGAAAAATATATTTTTTAACTTTTTTATGTATTGTAATTTGAGAGATATATAAATATCACCTTGCACTTGGCTGGGTGGGGTGGCTCATGCCTGTAACCCCAGCACTTTGGGAGGCCAAGGCCTCCTGAGGTCAGGAGGTCGAAACCAGCCTGGCCGACATGGTGAAACCCCATCTCTACTAAAAATACAAACAATTAGCCAGGTGTGGTGAACCTGCCTGTAATTCCAGCTATCCAGGGGTCTGAGGCAGGAGAATCACTTCGGTCCGGGAGGTGGAGGTTGCAGTGAGCAACAAGAGGAAGACTCAGTCTCAAAAACAAAAAACAAAAATATCACCTGCACTTTTCAGTAGTAGAAAGTGCACTTAATGAAATTGAATCAGGAAGACTGGGATCCAGCCACGCTCCTCACCTGATTGTGTGACTTTGGGCAAGTCTCTCAAATGAATAAATTCATTCATTTATAGATTTTTATTTTAGGACTCATTGATACCTATGATCTATGAATCATCTATGAATCATCTATGCCTATGATCTATACCTATATAATCATCTATACCTATATCTATGAAGCATCTGTACCTATGATCTATAAATGTAAGCCTATAGATGTAGGAGGACTGTGTACTCTGAAGCCAAGTATTTGTTATTCTGTCCAAAATATTTACCCAAGCTAAAATACTCTCAGTAAAAATTCTCTTTGGTCATTTTTCATAGCCTGAAAATGATAGTTAATTATGTTATACTTTGTGCTTTGTGCTATAAATTATTAATACATATTTGCCAGCTTCCAGTTGGCAAATACATGTTAATAATAATGATGTTTTCAAAATTCAGTTACCTATTAAATATGCTGATGATATATTAAATTTGAATATATGTAAAGTTTTAGATTCTCTAACTTAGACTTAGTTTAATGAAAAAGAACCTACGCATAACCTTGGAGCCTATAAGACGTATCCTGATTTTAGAGAAAAACCTATTGTTTTCCTTCTTACTGATTTAATCTGCCAGTTTGTATGGTGAATGTAATTTTTTTTCTTCTATGTTCTTTATACATACACCTTTTTGTTATAGACATTTTTCAAAGCAGATTATTTTATATTTATTCAATTTTTTTAAGGTGGGGGATTGGTCTGTATGAGAGCCATTCTTGTCACTGAATTGCATACCTATGAATCCAATCTACAGTGAAAAGGAAGAAGAACACAAAAGGGAAAGAATATAAAGCATATCTGTGTGGAGCAGAGGACAATCAATTAGATTCATTATCTGCTCTACATTCCAGTCACTTCTTTAAAAGAAAAAAAGTACATGATGCCATGGCAACAGTTAGACCTCCAGTTCGTTATGGTATATAATCATTAAGAGATCTTCAGCCTTCCCTGAAAATAGATACAAAAAAATTCACAGTGGTTGCACAAACTCCCTACATTTATACTGATTAAATGACAAGTTTGTAATTTACAGGTGTCTTATTGCCATGGGAATGCAATCATACAATTCCATTTTAGAATTCAAGGGCTTTTGAAACATGCTGCATGATTGTTAGCCGGGCTGCAAGCTACAATTAAATTGAAAGGGTGGCATGTAGATTTTAGAACATGGTGTTGACATTTACTGGCCAATCACATTTTGCAACACTCCTGCATGACAGCAGATGTTGACCTTTCAAGCTTTCCCTATCTGCTTTCACGCATTACCTGCAGAAATTAACATAACTCCGCTTCCTGCTCTATGCTGCTATTAATGTCATCTGGGAATTGAGATTCATGAATTCAGTTATTACCCAGGCTTGAGACCCGTTTTATACTCAAAGCACAGAACTAACAGCTCCTGGGAGCTGGTATTTTTGGATGTTGCTTCAACTACCTTTGTGGTTGAGGGATAGCTTGAAGCTATGGAGTAAAAAATGTCATCAGGAACAAGAGGAGAAATAGGCAGAGGAGGACAGTTTCAAGGAGAATGCTAAGGGCCAAATAATTGCTAATATATGGGATAGGAGAGCTTAAAATACAAAAAGGGTAATTTTAAGCAAGTCAAATAATGGCGTGAGTTTCACTTCTCTTGTTAACTGAACCATGAAAATAATACCCTTCTGAGTTTATGTGCAGTGAGCTTCAGGGTTTACTTCACAATGCCAGGGCCTTCTATTATCAATGATTTAGGAGAGAAACAATTTGAGGTAAAGATGTCATCTGTAGCCCTTAGGAGTTCTATTCATAATTGTAAGCAAAATTCTGTAGAGCTTTCTTCTACATAAAAATCCAAGCATTTTCTCTTATTTTCTAAGGTATTTTTTGTTCAATTCTTTCTAAACAGAGAGTCTTTGCTTTTTCAATATTTAGAGGGGTCTATTCAATGGAGGAATGAAATTCTGATATATATTATATTCTAGGACAGAAATTAGCACTGTTTAGAAGTCAACACAGACATCACAGTAAAAAATCATATCTCTAGAAATTGGTGGACAAATTTAGGGCATCATTCATTAAAATTTTCAGACTATAAAAGAGGATTGAGAAGCTTCTGAATTTTGCTTAACGTTTTCTTCAGGTTAGCTGTATGGATTTAGTAAATTTCCTGTCATTTTGTCTTTTAAAGTCCTTGGAGAGCATCTATGAAATATCTTAGTCACGGCTCCGTGAATTTAGTCTTTTGAGATACAAGCAGATGCATTTATCTCAAATAGGAATTGATTAACAGAGCTCAAGATGTCACCAATGAGATATGCATATACAGGCTACTTCAATGGCATTGCTCTGACTTGCCCTCTAGCAAACATTCTGTGCTGATTTGCATGTTTCAGCCATGGTGGATTTTACAGCAGTGTCTCTGAAACCAGTGCCTTTTACTGCATGTATAAAATACATAAGCAGAATATTTAGAAAGGCCAAGGCCTACCCTTTAAAAATACCTTTCCAACTCAATTATGTTGTGCTTGAGGTCCTATGTTTTGAAATTTCTTTGTATGTATGAATTAACCATTTCCCTCATATTATTTAATGCAAAGAAATGCTCCTGGGATGGGTAATAACAGTGTCACTGGTATTATCTTTTGAATAAATTTGCTTGGTTTCTTTCTTGTTTGAAAGGCCAGTTAAAACACACACACACACACACACACACACACACACACACACACACACACTGAACATTTCCAACTGGATATCTCATAAGAACTTCAAATTAAAAATTAAAAATGTCTAAACCTGAACTGGTCATCTCCATCCTCCGCTCAACCTTTGAATTTACTTTTTTTCCTACATCAGAGAAATCTGAGATATACTGTCTCCTAATTATATATTATACCATTTGGATCTTATCCTGAAAGGAATTGATAAGGATTATAAACAGGAGAGTCACATGATAAGACTAACCTTAAAAAATTATCCTCAATTCTAGGGTATGTAATTGGCTGAGCCTGGAAAATACCCAAATGAGGAGGGAGGGTGGGCATCTGAGATGTTATTGTAGTCACCCAGACATGATGATTTCCTTTAATAGTGTACTGCAGGCAGGGTGTCGTGGCTCACACCTGTAATCCCAGCACTTTGGGAGGCTAAGGCAGGCAGATCACAAGGTCAAGAGTTCCATACCATCCTGGCCAACATGGTGAAACTCTGTCTCTACTAAAAAATACAAAATTTAGCTGCGTGTGGTGGTGCATGCCTGTAGTCTCAGCTACTTGGGAGGCTGAGGCAGGAGAATCACTTGAACACAGGACACAGAAGTTGCAGTGAACCGAGATCTTGCAACTGCACTTCCGCCTGGCAATACAGTGAGGCTCCATCTCAAAAAAAAAAAAGAAAACAAAACAAAAAAAAATAGTGTGCTACAGTGGTTATCATGAGAAGTGTCCAGTCTTGAGAATTCTTCAGGAAGTTGGAAGATAGAGTTCGATGGTATTTATAATGCATAACATACATGAGGAATAACTCAAGGGCGACTTTTTAGTTTTTGTTTCTGAAGTGGGGGAGCTGCCAGTATTTCTCATGAGAAATACAGCAAAAATAAAACATCATTCTCAGGAAACTAACACAAGAACGGAAAACAGAGTACCGCATGTTCTCACTTATAAGTGGGAGTTGAACAATGAGAACACATGGACACAGGGAGGGGAACATCACACACCAGGGCCTGTGGGGGGGAGGTAGGGGGCTAAGGGAGAGATAGCATTATGGGAAATACATAATGTAGATAATGAGTTGACGCATGCAGCAAACCACCATGGCACACGTACACCTATGTAAAAAACCTACACGTTCTTCGCATGTTCCCCAGAAGTTAAAGTATAATAAAAATAAGTGAATAAAATAAAACAAACATTTGAGGAAGTATGTTGGCTTCATTTTTGGACATGCAATTTTGAAATCCAGCTGGACCTAGTTCTATAATCTTCCTCAACCACATTATGTGTTTTTCACAAAACATTGCATAAAATTGAGTCTCCAGCTTATTTATTTATTTATTTGTCATGGTCCAAATTTGGTTATTCTAGAGCCTGCTAGTTGAGAGCCCATGTGGCAAAAAGTGTGGATTTTGACATGTGAAGTGCCTGAGTATATGCACTGATGTAGCTTGGAGCTTGGTCCCCTCCAAATCTCATGTTGAAATGTAATCCCCAATGTTGGAAATGCAGCATGTTGGGTAGTGTGTGGGTCATGGGGGAAGATCTTTTATGAATGGTTTGGTGCCTTCCTCCCAGTAATGAATAAGTTCTGAGGGAGTTCACATGAAATCTGGTTGTTTAAAGAGTGTAGCGCCTACCCCCTCACTGTCTCTTGCTCTGTCTCCCTTGCTCCCACTGTTACCATGTGATATCTCCTGCTTTCTCTTTCCCTTCTGCCATGATTATAAGCTTCCTGAGTCCTCACCCAAAGCAGATGCCAGCACCAGGCTTCCTGAAGAGCCAGCAGAAATATGAGCCAAAATAAGCCTCTTTTCTTTATAAATTAATCAGTCTCAGGTATTCCTTTAAAGTGGCATAAAAATAGACTAACACAGGACCGAGTCCTTGCTCTGTCACTTTCTTGCTATGTGATCTTAATGAAACATTTTGCATTTAAATTTCCTTATTTATAAATTGAGGCCATTAAAACCCATATTAGCATATAATAAACTTTTGATATGGTTTTTCAATTTTTTTTTTTTTTTTTTTTTTT